CTTTCCCTAACTTGTTACATTAGCAGCTAGCATGGGTCCGAGTACACTACCTAGGCACGCCAGCCAGGCATTTAAAGACAGACTGCCTAGATATTTCAGTGACAGATATGTATGAGACTTGCTCACGTTCCAAGACAGAGTCAGATTCAAACTACAATCAAAACAGAAACCGTTAGCCACAGGTGGCATAGCACAGAGCCAAGGAGCAAGTATTAACAATGCATTAAAACATCCAGATGGCTCAGAGCACAGATCAAGTTTATGTTTGTCTAAAAAGATCAGAGATAGAGACATGCAAAAAAGAGAATTTTCCATAATGCTTTTGACCATCAGTCTACCCCACACTCTGTTGAAAGTCCACCGGCCTCTTGCACTTTATGGTATGTGCAGTGGGAGGCAAACAGAATCTAAGTATGCAGATGCACGAAGGAAAAAATAATGCCTCCTGGCATATCCAAGTTATTAGCTTAAGACATAACTATAGTCATTGCCTTACCACAGTCAGTGGTTTCAAAATGTTCTGTAAAGATGATTCTGCTCACCTAAAGCGTGCAAAGCATGAACACAGAGACTCATTTCACCAAAATCCATGAAGCCAACCAAGCACAGGAATTAGTAAAGCCATCCAGGACATCCAATGCATATAAAAGCTGTTCAGAGCTCATTTTAAGAATGATACTTGATCTTGTTTTAGAAAATGGATGCAAACAAATAGTACAAGGTGATGGTGTCTTCATGTTCAAAATAAAGCACTGAAGAATCTCAAAGTAGTTTTAGTTTACACAACAAACGTATTTTGCTAAAGCAACCCATATATATGTGTTAGTAGCACTGGCAAGATGACCATATTTTTTCTCCTTTCTAATCAGAATCATGTTTGTGTCAGGAATATAGAAGAAAATGAAGATGTATGATTTGAATGAATTTCTGTTTGCTAATTGCAATTTTCTGATTTGCAGTAATTGCTGTTTAAACAGGTAGTGTTTAAACACACCAATGCACGTTAAGAGTTACATAAAAATGTAGAGAAAATAACTTTTATGCACCTACACACAGCACATACAGACTACAGATTCAAAATAATAACGCAAATTCAGATGTTAAAAACGCAAAATTTTATGTCAAACTTTCTTCATGGTCAGTAAACAACTAGGTACCATCTCAGTTAATAACCGGTCTATTATTATAATAATAGTGCAACACAATAGTTTGCACATCATACAAAAGACAGACAGAAAGACAAGACAGATGAGGGAAAGACTGAAACAAATTTATCACCATGTTCAGTTAGACCCTGAAAACATATAATTTAATTATTGAGATTTAGGAAGATGATTCTCTTAAGATGGTAAAATACTGACAATTAGTGGTCAGTTATGAGCACTGCACTTTCCTTAAAAATAGTAACTACTAACATTTAAACCTCATAATATTTCTTAATTAAAGCAACTACTAATCAAATCCAAAAGTCAAATCTGATTTTGTTTGGTTTGAAATGTATAACAGGCAAAGTAATGAAAAAATTGTCTCATTAAATAGCCAGAAATGCTTTAAATAGCATTTCTTTGTAAATCATTCAGGCCATATTAAATGACAGAACACAGTCCAACACATGCCCTCCCTTCCAGGAAAGCTACTTGGGAAGCATCTTGGAGAAATAAAAGAGGACAGAAAAAGACTTTAATAGAACATTACATCCATGCAATGATGTTATGTTTCTTCAAACTGCAGAAAAAGGCAACTAGCTTCTCCCTATGTTGATTGTATTCATTAAGAGTATTTTCATCTACAGTGTCCCCCATTCTTCGAATGAGTACACACTTGTAGGGATGTACTGAATGAAGAGATCCACCTTCTTCAGTAGCCGGTCCTCAGCATCACTCCATATGTCACATGAGAGAACAACAGAGTGCACGGATGAGACTCTTCCAGACTTGAGAATAGCATCTGCAATAGCTGAGTACCAAAGCAGCATGAAAGAACATATTTCACAATAAGAAAGAAAACTAGCAAAGTCATATATCGTGTTAAGAAGTTCCTGTTCCTAATGTACAATGTAGCTACAGTTCAACTGTAAGGCAGATCGAGAAATAAGTAAGCTTCCACACTGAAGTTTGAGAATCTCTGTTCTTGAAAATTCTCTCACCTATCAAGCAATCTTTGTAGCAAATGCTACCAAGTAATGGGTGATCAGTAAGAAAAAACTTAAATAACATCAGCTGTTTTACACAAAATCCAATGACTGTTACTAGAATTTTTTTTTAATAATTATCTTGTAGACTTTGCTTAAATTGCTTACTTAAAATACAGGATTTAAAAAAAAAAATCATAAAAAATGGTGTAAACTACTGAGTTTTTCTAACAACTTTGCTAAGAGTTCTTTAAAGCCAAGCTTAATTTTGTCTATAGTACAGAAAAATAAAAAAACTATGTTAGCAAACTACATCAAACAATTACACTGATGCAAGTAATGATCAACAAGCCAACTACTACCCACCTTCAAAATACATTGCTGAAATAACAGCCTTTTTAAACTATTCATATTCATAGATTTTAAATACTTCATAGTCATAAATTACATTATACATCTTATTTGGTTTGCCAGACTGAATCTATTCATCTGTAGCACCACATACAAAGAACAAAATTTGAAAAAATCAAAACCCAGAAGCTCAGAAACTCATAATTGCTACACCCAGTTCTCAGACTGTTTTGGTGTTACATTTTTTTCCTGTTTGTTTTTAATTTGAGATTAGATCAGTTCTAAACTTTTTGCCTCCTTAGATAGTCTCACATTCCTACTTCTTCTATAATTTATATTCCATAGCAAAGTACTTTTCTTAACAAAGCTTTCCCACACAGCAACCTCTCAGGACGATAGTACACAGAGAGGCAGTGTATACAGGATCCAGACTATTTTATTCTCAAAAACAAGTGTTTTTCAAAAGGTAGGGTGCAAGGTGGTCCGATTTGCCAATGTAAGAGCTAAAGAGCTCAGCCACCTGTTCAAGAGATGTTGAATCATTCCTGATAAATACAAACACCATCCAGAAGTGAGATCATTTTCTACCTAGAGAAGGATGAATTAACATGAAAGTTCAGTGGGGAAGGAAGATGGGACAGCTGGATAGAAGCTTGTAAGAAAGGTCTTAGATCTAAGGACCTCACCAATATTGGAGTCTAAAGACATCTAGCATGTAGAAAGTTGCAACTCTGTCACAAAAATGTTTTCCAAGCTATGAGACAGCTATGAGAGAAGTAACAGCAGCAAGAGGACATACTGGTAGCGTAATGGAAGTCTGTGTTTCAAGGGCAATACTGTCTCCATATTCCTCCGTAATCTGTCACAGAAAGATTGCCTAATACCTACTGAAAGAATCTCCCTTCTACACCTGTCATGTGACACCACCAGGTTCTATTTTGCATGTTAAAGGTTAGATGCTCCTGAAAAATCCATAATTCAATGCAACAGGTGTAAAAATCTATGTTTTATTAGGATTTTCAAATACAGTGACAAGAATCCAGTCCAAGAAATGCAGAGTCAGGACTGAGATCAGCCACTCAGAAAGATGATTTGGAGATATGAGCCCCTGCTTCAAGAATGTGATTCTCCTCCAAATAGCAGCAGCTATGAATGTATGGCATGTGGAATAAGCCTGTTCCAGTCAGTACTGGCTCTGAATTTTGGCTTGCGCAAATTCCTAATAGTAAAAAATTACCAAGCAGACTAATAGGTCTTGAGCTTTCCTGTAAACTGAGAATGAGGACTATATATCAAAGTTTTGAACAGTGATGTAAAAAAAAACAAACCACCAAAAACAAAACCAAAAAAAACACACAAGAAAAAGAAAGATAAATATCTTTTAAATGGAAAGGGACCCCTTGTGAAAAATAATTTACAAAAATATATATGAAACAAAATTTGCAGGAGAAAGGAGATTAAAACATCTTCATCTACAGCTGGACAGCTTAGGGGAATGGAAGGTCAGTGATGTACTTAGTATCTCCTATTCATTTCACATGAAATTCAAGAGATGAGCTACTAGGAAAAAAGGTATCCAGACTCATGATCACATAGCCAATCATATGAAAGGGTTTGAAATACATTTGAAATCATTCACTTGGATTCAAGTGTTGCTGGTGAGGGGTGTGGAGAACAAGTCTTACAAGGAGCGGCTCAAGGAACTGAGGTTGTTTAGCCTGGAGAAGAGAAGGCTGAGAGGAGACCTTATCGGTCTCTACAACTACCTGAAAGGAGGTTGTGGCGACGTGGATGTGGGTGTTGGTCTCCTCTCCCAAGTAACTAGTGATAGGACGAGAGAAAATGGCCTCAAGTTGCGGCAGGGGACGTTTAGATTAGATATTAGGAAAAATTTCTTCACCGAGAGAGTGGTCAAGCATTGGAACAGGCTGCCCAGGGAGGTGGAGGAGTCACCATCGCTGGAAGTGTTCAAAAAAACATGTGGACGTGGCACTTCAAGATATAGTTTAATGGACATGGTGGTGTTGGGTTGATGGTTGGACTTGATGATCTTGAAGGTCTTTTCCAACCTTAATGACTCTGTGATTCTAAGGAAACCATGGCAGTGTCAATGTATCTTTACAGGTACAAGCCACTATCCCTTTAAAAGGATAAAAAAAGATGGTTCCAATCTGTAGATAACACTATTAAATGACACCAGCTGATTTCATAAAGCATCCCTCTATCGGACTGAAGGCACAACCAAAGAATCTAGAAATGGACGTAGGCATATTAAAGAGCAATGAAAACTGTAATAAAGCACTCTATTTCTTTTCACCCACTAGGACATCAATAGGGAAAAAATGAGAGAGTAACTCTTTCTGAAATATTAGCAGAGCACTACAAGCAGTTTGATAAACATTACTTTTTATCTATACCAAAAGAGTATTTTATCTTCTGAAACATGACCTTTTTGAAGAGTTTCTAGCCTTATGTGAAATAAAAAGCATCAATTTAAACTAAGGTTCCTCAATATTACTGCAGAGCATAGAACAACTGCCTTCCAAAAAGCATGTACACTGCTCCTAATATTAAAAGTGAAAAACAAGGAATTGCACATTTCTTCAACTATAGTATTCTATTGCATAGAGTTAACATCACAAACTATATCTTAAGGTGAGTAAAATAAAGAGTTACAGTATGTTAAGACACCGATTTTCCAAACAGCCGTAAAATCAGAAACAGAGATATGTATTTTTTATACATTTCCTAAAACGAGCAGGAAAAAAAAGCTACTAGCTATCTCCAATTTTAATTCATAATATAAACATGTGTATTTGTCTCCTAAACAATATTTTATACTTCAGATACAGTTGAATGAAATAGTTTGAAAAGCAGTAAAAAGCTGCCTGGCCACTAAAGTGCATTTGATTGCTTGTTGAAATAAATCAAAAATAAACTGCTCACTACAAGCAAAGTTTACATTTTAGAAAACAAAATGTTTTAATTGAGGTAACTCAGCTAACAACTTGATTTTGTTTGTTTGAGGGTTGAGGGAGGGCATAGGAGATGGGTTATTTTAGAGAATGTTTGTGCCAGTTACCAAAAAGGTCTAAACATAGACAAGACAGTATCATGAAGAACAGAGACTGTACTTGTTACCACCTGATCACCAAAAAAAGCAGAGACACACTGATACAGTTAAAAAAATGTGCCAAAGATATGAGCACTTCTGCCAGTTTAACATGTACAGAATCACAAATGCAGCACCTTCCTAACTTAATTCTGAATACAAAGGAAGTTTTCATCAGCATACCTCTTGTAATTGAAGAGACATATGTCCCAGTTGGTCCTGGCGCCTTTCTACAAGCTGTCTTTCAGCACGCATTTCTTGTTCTATCTCCTGAAGTCTTCTTTCTACCCGTTCTGATACCTTCAAAAGGGGAAAAAAAAACAACACCCTGCAGGAAATTAGTGTGTCTTTTACCACATATTAAGATAACAACGGCAAAAAAGGTAAATAGAGTATGTGGCAGAAAGAAGATAGAACACAACTTCTGTTTTATTTAGTAAGATTTAGAATGGTATAGAAAATAACTAGATAGTTATAGCAGTTAAGTACTCTGGAAGTATTCAAGCAGAGAACTGACCTGCTATCTTGCTAGCAACATCCTCCTTTAGGTTTGCATATTTCTCTCCACAGTGGCAGTACTACTCAAGTACTCTACTTATTGAGTGCTAAATATCTCAATATCAAGCTTGGTGCGGCCTAACCTGAAGCTGCAATACAAAAAAAAAATCTTAGCTTCTCTACTACAGGCCTGATTAACCTCTGAAGAGTAATTTCTTTCACATCTCCAGACTGTAAAACAGACCAATGTTTGCCCCTCTCATACTTTGAAATCTGTGAGTGAGAAATAGTAAACAAGAGCTAAGTACATGAGAATGACTGTAACAGCACAAAATAATTACATCGCTTTAAGACTTTTCCCCAATATTTTGTGAATCCATGTACAAACTAATACAAATAACTCTAGTTAATTTGTTAAAGCAATTTGGATTATAAACACAGTTATTCAACCTTAAACTACAATACCAGAACTACTTTATTTTTGCCTTTCAAGCTGCTAGCAGACAGCACCCTCTCGTGGGCAGCAAATTAAATTTATATTGTCAAAGTTGAAGATTAGCAAGGAAGATATTTATGTATCGTTTCCTCCCTACCTTAAAACTAATTATTTTAAACAATTACTACAGACCAATGTATCTATTACTGAATGGTATTTAGATAAAGACAGAAAGACTCAAAATACTATTCAGCTACTAGTTTCTGATGTACGTAGAGGGGAACAAGCTTTCATCTGTACTTTCACCATTAAGTACGCTTCCACTAGCACTAAGCATATGTGTGGATCAAAAATTTTAACATGAGCAACACAGTTGTGTAGCAACAGAAACTAATTGAGGTTACGTTTATATTCTGGGCTTCATGAGTACATCATAAGTACAACATAAGTGTTCAAGAAACGTGTGGATGTGGCGCTTCAGGACATGGTCTAGGGGACATGGTGGCGCTGGATTAATGGTTGGACTTGATGATCTTGAAGGTCCTTTCCAACCTAGTGTTTCTGTGATTCTGTGATTTCTGTGATCAGGTTTAAAGAATGAAATGGTCTTTTTCTTTACAACATAATACATACGTTTGAAAACACTTCTTGTCTGCGCAGCCAGATGAATAGTCAGCTTACAATTTAGAATTTTGTATTTTCTCTTAAAACCATCAAGAGATGCTCAAAAAATGTACTGCATCATTCACGTTTGTTTTGACAACTACTATTTAGTGTTACTTTTAATAATACACAAAATACTACAGCTAACAGAACCAACAATACTATATAGCAGGAACAGAACATAACGCGTTGTCATTAAACTTGTTATATCTTTGCTGAAAACTGGGAAATACCTGTCATCCTTTTCTCCAGATACATCTAAAGTACACAAAGAAAACAAAGTCATGTTTTTGCACTTAAAAAAAAAATCTTGGCTACATGTTTCTGAAAGCAGAAGCTCTCTAAGCTATCTCACACATCTTTTTCAAGTGAAGTTAAGCAAGAAAACACTAAAGCTATTGAGAAAGAAAATGTGTAATTTAGACTTGGCAAAAGATCCAAAAGTAACACCACCCCCAAAGACGATATTCAATACGAGACGTCAGTAACTTCCTCCCTGATGCAAGTCTAGTTCACTGCAGATGACATGACGCGAGGCAAGCACTAGGCAAGCTTCAGATTCCTGCAAACTTCAGATTTCTGCAAATTATCAGTAATGCAGAACAAGTAAGAAAGTAACCTTTTACTAACTACAAGGTATCAAGTGGTTTGCCTTGCCTCTGACTTCTTTCAACTCCTTCCAGAATACAAATGTTACCTTATTTCTAACAAGGTATTGAAAAAGATGCATTCATTATATTTACCGGGTGCACAGAAATTTCAGAGTTACAGAATGTGCTAGTTTTGGCTGGGATAAAGACAGTTTTCTTCATAGTAGCTAGTATGGGGCTGTGTTTTGGATTTGTGTTGAAAACAGTGTTGATAATACAAGGATGTTTTCATCATTGCTGAGCAGGGCTGACACAAAGCCAAAGCCTTTTCTGCCTTCTCACACCTCCCCACCAGCGAGTAGGCTGGGGCTGCACAAGAAGTTGGGAAGGGACACAGCTGGGACAGCTGACCCCAAATGACCGAAGGGATATTCCATACCACATGTCATCATGCTCAGCATATAAAACCGGGGGAAGGAGAAGGAAGGGGGAGGTAGGGCGATGTTCAGAGTGGGGGCATTTGTCTTCCCAAATAACTGTTACACATGACGGAGCCCTGCTTTCCTAGAGATGGCTGAACACCTGTCTGCCCGATGGGAAGTGCTGAATTAACTCCTTCTTTTGCTTTGCTTGTATGCATGGCTTTTGCTTTACTTAAAGAGTCTTTATCTCAACCTACGAGTTCTACTTTTTTTCTTCTGATCCTCTCCCCCATCCCACTGCAGGGGGCTATGGGGTGAGCAAACAGCTGTGTAGTTGTTTTAGCTACCTGTCAGGTTACACCACACCACAGACAAACTTCTTTAAAAAAAAAAAACAAAACGAAATAAGCCACCAAACATTTTAATGCTACTTACAACTCATTGGAAGAAAAAAACCCCTCTATCAAGAAACTACAGTTGGTATATATAGTACATCATTAGCTCATATTGTCTGTGCACAGAGCACATAAAGAGGAGGCTGGAAGGTACTTCAAAGGCTAGCAAACTCACTGCTTGTATAAACACATGACCTTTGAGAGAGATATATATAATTTTTCTAAAAATGTATCTAACCTGCTCAAAAACATTAACAGAAAACTTTTACAGCCTTCCTAGACAATTCATTCCATTGCCTCTAAAATGACTTGTTTTTCCTAAAGTACAATTGTAGTCTTCCTTGCTGAATTTTATACCTATTAACCTTGTTCTATCCTCTAAGCCACATCCTCATCCAACGACTGGATAGTGGATTTTGGTTCTGTTTTCCAACATATCTGAAGTCCATCTGCAAATGTAACAAGCATCTCTACATTGCACCATCTAGACTTAATAAAAACTTCAGAGAAAACCAGATCAGGAATACCAACACGCAAAACTCACTTCACTAACTCCTCTAATTTTAACAGTGAACAGTTTACTAGCTACATAGGTATCTGGACAGTTAGGTGTTTATTCTAGACTATATTCAGTCTCACCATATTTTACTGAAAAGCTTATTAGAACAGAATATGAAATTCTGTCTAAAAAAAGCTCAAAAAAAATTGCATCAAGATATAGAAAACTACTGCTTCATCCTTGTAAATTCCTTCTCTGATATGAGTGCAATTTTTCTTGACAAATCTGTGTTGTCTGCTACTTAAGTTTCTTATTTGCTCTTGGACATTTACAAATCAAGTTCTGGAAAAATAAGTCATCTATTTTCCCTTTTTTCAAGATTTGACATTTTCCAATATCCAGGAATGTTTTTTCTAACTCATCCTCACAGTTGTCCATGAATACTCCAAAACAGTCATTAGTGGTTTTAAGATCACTTCAGACAGTTATTTTAGCATCTTAACCTAGCGCAGATAAGCTATCTAAAAATATTTTACATGCCTGACCTTCCCCCCCGCCCAGTATTTTAAGCTGAGGTCTTACACCCCCATTGCTGGTCAATAAATTGCAGCTTAACTTGTTGGCAAATATCAACATTAAAAAGGTGTTAAACAGGAATCAACTTTCTTGGCACACTGTGTCAGTAGTTTCTCCTCTTCTGCAAGGAACAGACCAATTGCTTTGGTCTCCCTGAGAAACAGTAATATATTTACAAGCAAAACATCATTGCTCTTGATGTCTCTTTGTTGGTGCATCCTATTATCTACCACCGCAGCCTTTCCACTTTCATATACTTGCACTATTTTTTATGACTGCTCTTATTGATCTAATTGAGTTTCCACTTTCTGCATTCTTTCTCTTTGTGCCTGAAGTAAATGCAGAGCTTCCAATTCAGCCAAACAGATATATTGCTATACTTCCTACACTTTGTTGTCAACTTTTCCTTTAAGAGGATTTGCACAGAACATGTTAGAATATTTGCCCAATTCTCATTTCCTCCAAACACTGAAATTTTTTCTGCATGTAATCTGTCATTTCATAAATAAAAAAAATTCACAACCTCACAATCTATTCCAAATGTGTATGAAATCACAGAAGACATAGCAAATAAAGAACAAATCTTAGGCTACGAGCAAACTGATTCCTTAAGGCAATCATTTTTTCCATCAAATTCTTGTTCATGTTTTTGGTAAGGTAGAGCTTGGCATACAGAATGGTTGACTATTGGTTAAAGAAAATTGTTTTAGGATAAAGGAATAGGTATCACATTGGTTAACGTCTTCAGAAAGAAAAGTATTTTCTGGTAGGCAAAATGCTTACTATGAAACATGAAATTAACATTAATCCTGAAAAAGAGGATTGAACAACGGAAGCCTCATAAACACTACTTTTAGCCTACTTTATAAAGAACAATACTTAGGAGATTATGGTCTTTCATTTGTGATTCAAATGTTAACCAGTACAGAGCTGTCAAATATGTTTAGACTTTGCGAGGAGTTTCAAGAAAATAAGAGCCTAGACAGAG